TAGCACCCACTTTTTGCTTGATGTTCAGGCAATGCTTCTTGTAGGTAAAAGCGTGGTCCAGAGTGACTTCCAGGTATTTGGGTGCGCTTCAATGCTCCAGTGGGATTCCTTCCCAGGTGATCTTCAGAGCTCGGGATGCTTCTCTGTTCTTGAGATGAAAGGCACATGTCTGTGTTTTAGATGGGTTGGGGATCAGCTGGTTTTCCCTGTAATAGGCAGTAAGAGCACCTAGAGCTTCGGAAAGCTTCTGTTCTACCATCTCAAAGCTCCCTGCTTGAGCAGTAATGGCACGATCATCAGCATAGATGAAACTCTCTGTCCCTTCTGGCAGTGTCTGGTCATTTGTGTAGATGTTGAACATGGATGGAATAAGCACACTCCCCTGAGGTAGGTCGTTCTTCTGTTTCCGCCATCTGCTTCTCTGGCCCTGGAACTCAACAAAAAAGCTCCTGTTTTGTAGCAGGTTTCCTATGAGGCGGGTGAGGTGGTAGTCGTTGTGATATTATACATTTTTCTCAGGAGGAGGTGGTGGTTCACAGTATCATAGGCTGCTGACAGGTGTATGAAGACAGCTCCTGTAATCCGCCGCCTTTCAAAGCCGTCTTCTATGTGCTGCGTCAGGTTCAACACTTGCGATGTGCAGCTTTTGCCTTTTCTGAAGCCAGCTTGCTGTGGGATCAGACATGGGTCTATTTTTTCCGTAATTCTATGCAGAATAAGTCTCTCCAGAACTTTGTAGAGGTGGCACAACAGGGAGATTGGTCTGTAGCTTTTTGGGTCATTACGGTCTTTGCCTGGCTTCAAAATGGCGATGACTCTTGCTTTCCTCCAGATTTTGGGGATCTGACAGGATGCAGTGCAGTTGTTCATCAGCTCCAGCAGCCAGCGCCTTGCTTTTGGGCCAAAGTTCTTGATTTGTTCCATCCATAGATCATCCAGGCCAGCTGCTTTGCTATTTTTACATTTATTGAGAGCCATGTCCAATTCAGTAGATGTAAAGGGTTCATGGAGGTTGTTGTTCTCAATCTCTGGTTGTCTGGCTATTGGTTTCTTTCCTACTTGATCTGCCTTTATGTTGGCATGGGTATTAGTTTGTGAGGGGTCATTGCTCAGCCGTCTTAGCAACCTCCACGCCTTCTGGCTGCTCCTGCCCATGTCGACCTCTGTGATCAGCTTGATCCACTGTTCTTTCTTGGCTTCAGAGATGGAGGACACAATGCTCTGCGCTGCCTGAAGAGTTTGCTCACTAAATGGGTCTTCGTTGTGGAGCCTGTAATAGTTTTCCAACAAGGCAGCTGTTTCAGGAGTAATGCCCTGAAGGTAGTTGGTTCTGCAACCTCTCGGTATGGAGGCCCATGAGCAGGTTTTCACGATTTCAATAAAATGCTCGTATTCCTCAGGGATTGGCACGGCTGATGTGATCATGTCATCTAACATGTCTGAGAATTTAGTCCAATCTGCCTTTCTGAAGTTGAATCTTCGTTTAAATCGAACTTCCTGAGGCCTTATGTTGGGAACAGTTGGCATACTATTGGTCGGTGCTGTGTGTTTGGGATTGGTGGTCCCACTGATTTGGTGCATTGCTGTACGATGCTGTCGCTCACAAATAAGAGGTCTGGGTTATAACCTCGGTGCCATCTCCCGCTGTTGTAGGATGGTGGGAGCTTGCTATCATGGATGAGTGATAGTTTGTGCAGTTCAGACCAGGAGAGGACAGCCTCTTCATTTTTGTCCTCTTGGGCATAGCCCCATACGTGGCTATGGCTGTTGAAGTCACCAATTACTACCGCCCTTTGGTACCTATCAAAATTCTCGGGGGAGGAGAAGCAGAACTCTTCATTTGGGGGCTTGTACACAGAGGTGATGGTGATGTTATTAAGCTCTACTGTTATAACCTTGATATTGTTTTCTTCAGTGTTGTGGGCACTGCTGACTTGGAGGCCTGGTTTGACAAAGACGGCGCTTCCATACTGCGCATGTGGTCTTTCCGCTACTAAGACCATTCCTGGAACTTTGGGTCGTTTGTGTTGTTCATCCCTGTGTGTTTCTTGGACACACAGCACATCGCATTTCTTATCTTGGCACAGTTCATAGAGCAGTTGTTCTTTGGCAGCTGACATGCCTTCGATGTTGATTGAGATTATTGTCATGGTTGGTCCTGAAAAGGATCGTTGGTTGTTTTGCTTGCTTGCATGCATGCTGGTTGCTTCTGGATTGAGAGAATCAGCCGTCTTTGAAGACGTTGCCCAGGGGACGCCCGGATGTCTTGCAATCTGGCGAGGAGGCTTCTCTCATGTCCCCTATGTCAACTAAAATAGATCTATTGGATCTATGGGAAACGCACACAAACACACATATACATACATGTTTATGTGTGTGTATAGAGAGAGAATTTATCTACTCTCTCTCTCTTTCTCTCTCTCTCTCTATATAATATGTATGTATGTATGTATGTATACACACACATACACATATAGTTTAATGAAGCTTCATTTACACTAACAAATAATGCAGTGTGGCTATTGTATTTGCCTGATGCATCCATGTAGTGCTTGCAAGCTAATGTGATTTAATATAGGGTTAACCTGGGGTAAACTGTGCCCTGAAGAAAAAAATTAGAACGGCCAAATCATGCTCCAGGATTTGAATCTTCTCCTGTGTTGGATCAATTGGGACAGCCCTCTTAAGGCAGCCCAGGGAGGTGAGGTAGCAGTCCCTTCCTACAATTTGCAGCCTCATCCCCCCACCCTGGAGAATAAAAGAAAAGTACCAGCTGCATGGTAGCTTCCTCCTTTTTTTTTAGTTCTGAGCAATATGACTGGCAAAGGAACCTGAGAAGAGCACCCCCTACCCCCTGCTTTTTCCAAGCTCCTTAGTGAGTCATTGGCTCGGTACCAGGAAAAGGAGGCTGCTACCATGTGGCAGGTGTTTTTCTTTCTTCTCCTGGGGAAAATCAGAGATGTAGTGTTTGTGTGTGGAAACCTAGCCCATGCCCAGCCCTGCTGAACTGGCTTCAGTACTGCTGAACTGTTAGGCAGTGCCCGCACCAAGGCAGCTCAAGACACCCTTGTGTGGCCTCAATTGTGGCTCAGATCCAGTGCTTTTCATGCTAGTTTCAAGTCGTACTATGCACCTGTGTGGAAGGGCCCTGAAATAAGCAATATGATTAAATTTCTGGTCAAATGCCCCAACTACAAAAAATGTACTATTTTCTCGTGTATTATAGAATGAAACTTAATAGCTATTCCCAACTAAGGCTGGATCTACATTTCCATATAATGCAGTTTGAATCTTGATTTTTCCCAAATCTTTATTTCCATTTTTGCCACAGTTTTAGGTAACATGTTTTCTTGTTTTTGCGTGTGAGCCTGTGGTAATCATAACACTGAAGATCCTTTGTATTATGGTCCCAATGTTCTTCTGTTTTATGCTTTCTGTAGTATTGAGCAAGACAGCAGGTGATTTTTCTGAACATTTTGTCAACAATCACAGCTATCTTACAAGACAAGATTCATCTTTTCTGAATCCATTCTTGTACATGCACAGGGCAACTGGAAATCCTTCTCTAATATTATGGATGTGGCTAGTGGGGTGGCAGAGCAAAATAAGGGCATTGCCTCCCAAGAAAAATTATGACCTTTCAGTTAAGTTTTTTCTTTGGGCCTCAATTTTTAGCATTTCAGTGAGTAAAACAATCAGTAATTTCACACTTTGAACTCTTCTGTTCACCATATTTGCTCTTCCTTGGTAGCTATTCTTTTCCTTGGATGCCTAAACTGTAGTTTTAATTGTTCAAAAGAAGATTTAAGTTACTGCTATGCAAAATTTGGGGAATGAATGGAAATATTATTTCAGAATTTCTATTGGACAATGCTTTCATTTTGCCCGCTGTGCTATGTTCTGTCTAGTACCCATGTTTTATGGAACTTAAGCGGCCTCATGGATTTCACTTTACTATCACAAGAGTGTTTTTTTAATCATTAATTCTTCTGTTTCAATATAAAAGGAACTATAAGGATATTTTGTTTGTTTGTTTTTAAAAAACCCTCTTAATGTGTTCTACTATTTTCAAGTTATAATTTGTATTATTATTTCATTTATCATTTTACCAGAACTGAAGGTTTTGTTCACATGGAGGCCCCATTTTGAAAATCACATATTATTCCAAATATGAAATGTTTAATATTATTTTCATGGACAAGCAAGCATGCCTTCTTTATGAAGTGCAAATTGATAATTATGTGTTTTTGTCAATTGTTTGATTATGCTTCACTATTGTGATTTTCGTCAAAGATCAGGATTCAGAGGGCTCCGTTTGTGTACCAAGTAGAAGTTTTGACTTTTCCCCTTTGAACAGCAGATCCAAACACCATAACCTGCTCATGACGTTTCTCCCAGTTTCAAAATGACAGTTACCTCAAGGTCACAGGGGATGGATGACTGCTATTTGACAAATAGGATTTCCTATTCGTTGGATATGCTGAATTGTGTGTATGTTTATGGATTAAGGTCATAATGATATGATGGGAAATGAATACATTGTATGCTAAGTTTTATAACTAAATTTCTTACTAATTTTTCATCACATGTATTGTCCTCAGTTTCTAACAGCATTTTCTGATAAAGCTTTTTGTGATACATATGAAACTCGGAAGGTTTACTGAGGATTCGAGTTGTAATTGATTTGCACACATTCAAAAATTATACATGTATTTCAAATCATTTTTGAATGCATATTAGAGCAATCGTTTGTGATCAGACTTAATGAATTGTCACGACATACAGTAATGTTTCCTACTGTTTTTCTTATTGTTTTTTGTTTTTATGTTAGTGTGGAGTTAACATCCTTTATTTTTTACAATTCAGATTTTGACTTTTTTGTGTTGCACCTTTTTACTTTTTTTCAATTTTTGGATAGTTCTTTTTCTTTAAATTTTTGGGAACCTGCTGTTTTTGAATTCACTTTTTTCCCTTTATTCTCCTGCTCACTCTGACCCCAGGAGCCAACACAAAGAAAAGCGCAGATGATATTACCAGTAATGATCGTGGGGAAGATGAAGGTATTTTTTGGTTTTTCCCCCCAAAAAACTCAACCCTGATATGCATGAACATGAACTTTCCCCTCTTCCTTTATTTGATCACACTCATCCTAGTGTGCTTTGCTTTCTTTTTATCTGGAATTTGAACTTTCCTTCCCAACCTCTTTTTTTTAAAGCACACAATATAGCATTTAGATGACTGCAACCCCCTTTTCAGATATATATTGAGGTTATATGTGATATTTGTCAAATGAGTAACATGCATATTATTTACAACCAAATGATTCCTTATAACCATTCCCAGATTTTGCCTAAGAAGGAAATAAAATGGAATAGAAACCTTGCATGTGTATCTCTTTCTTTATCCTTTTGGTATATTTTGTAACCTCACTTTCACCTTATTTCCTTCTTTTTCTTCCCCATATAGTGGATGCAATTACTACCTCTACTGTTTCTTTTGGTGTTTTCCGTGTTTTATATGCTAAGAAAAGTGCAGGATGATTTTCAGTTTGTTTCATTCTGTTCTTTAACACCTGTTTCTTGTGCACATATCCAAGGCAGCATTACCACCACCCTTTACTCCCACATAGCTCCCAACCAGGAATACATTTTGTATATTTATATAGCATGCAACAGTGATATTTATTGTCTTGAGAGATTCTCCACCCCCTTGCATGCTGTTATAAACATGCAAGAAAGCATAACCATGCCAGCAAATGGTTTTAATTCAGTATGTGGGAGTTCTGTGGGTGCAAATTGCTCAGGTGGCATCAACCATGCCATTCTGATAGGTGGGAAGGAGATCCCACTGTTTGTGTTTGGAACCATTGCTTTGATTGTTCATTAGAGCTTTTTCAAGAATTCAAGCTCTTCCCTTAAACACAGTAAAAGTTTGCTTGATTGCAAACCCTAGTAGGCTTACATAAAGATATATGATGCTAGTAATAGAGTTAAATATGTGCGTGGTGAGAAGATATATATTATAATTACATCAATCTGAAATTTCTTCTGAAGTTCAGTGAAAAACCTTAATTCAGTAAATAAATGAATGAAATCTCACTTTTCTTCCACATACAATATCCTTTGGTGGTAGCCTTCTTGGACATTTTTTTTAATTTTAAAATAAATCTAGACTCATATTGTTGCATCTCTTGTCCAAGACTTGCACAGATAAACAGCTATACTATGTGACATCTTAAAAAATTAGGTATGCCATCATTTGAAGGTAATCTGCTGATGTAATGTTAGCCGTTGAGTGGAGTCAGAGCCAAAACTTGGCAAGTCCACCGGGATTTTTTCATCCTCTTTCTTCCCCATCTTTTCTTTTTCTCTTAATTTTGTCACTACTTAGCATGCTGTAAGAAATGGAAAAAATCTGGCCAGAAAGCTGAACAAGATCCCATTGGAGAAGACTTCTGAAATATGATTGAGGACCATATGAAATTAGGCTGTTGATTGCTTATGATCTTAGACCAGTAGTTCCCAACCTTTGATCCTCCATGAGTTTGAGACCTGAGCTCTCTGGAGCTCCAGACCAATTGGTCAGTAGTCAGGAGCTGAAGTTGAAAACACCTGGAGGACCAAAGTTTGGAAAGCACTGCTTCAGACCATAGGTTGCCAATTTGCAGAGGATGATAAATTATTTACTACGTCACTTGCCTGTGACTTTTTCATGATTTCTTTTCTGAGCCCCATTCTGTGTCATTATTCTCTTCTGGTATTTTTACAATGTTTCAACTAGTATTGTAACATTTGCCCTTTCCTTTTGCTACCGAAATGTGTATAGTATTATGTGGTCACCTTTTAATCTCTCTCTTTCTCAAAAGTTCATCATAACTGTGCCTTTCTGACCTCTCCAAGAGCAGCTGCTAAGACCTCTGCTTTCTTGTTATTGTTACCATTCACCTTTTCCCCCTGAAGTCTTTCACTGCTGGGTTACTGTGTTCCGAGTAAAGAAATTAGACATTTATTTCCCACTCAGACTATAGATATTCATACTTTAGGATCCCTAGTGCTGAAGGATTGCTTTGAGAGACAATTCACTATAGCCCTGAAGTGGCAAGTTATTTTACACTTAACTTCTCTTTTCTGGAAAATATATCATATATAAAACCTATTTAAATCTATTCAAGTGTTTAAAATGTTAATATGTGAAGGGGAGGAGTGTGCAACACCACCTTTTTCAACACCATTTTCGTCATCCTTTAGATATGAAGGATGGCAGATGTGGAGAGGAGAGATTATATTCTCTGTGACACAAAAATTCTCTATTCTCTCCTTGTGCCCTTTCATTTATAATTTTATTTTCTGTCAGAACATTCCAAGTAATTCATCAAAAGTACCCAGAAGAGACAAACTTTATTATATGGCCTGTATAATTTTGTTAAAATTTAGTTGGTTTTGGTAAAACTTCAATTTAAGAATGCTGTACTTTAAAAATCTATCAAAAAACTGGCTGAGGAGCCTTTATACCTCATCCCTAATTCAATTTGGCCAATGTTCCTCCCAGCTAGGGTATACCCATCCAGTCAATTATAACTTATAAGGTATAGCAATAATTGGAACTAACAGTTGGATTCAGGTCTTTAATGTCACACATATTCATGGGAGCATCTAGTTTGTTTTATGTACTTATTGGGGAAAATCTTTATCAGTTTCAATAACTTCAAGACAAAAAGATTTGGAAAAATTATGCCTACCGCTACTATAATTAGTTTATTAAATATTTAGGAAGGATTTTTTTTCCTTATAAAGTTGTGTTTGAACCTTCTGATAATGGGACTTCTTTGTGAATTTCTTTTTCTCATTAGTTTTATAATATTTGGGTATTTGTAGTAATTTACCACTTTTCAAAAGCCACACAGTTTTCATTCTCACCCCCCCCCCCCAGCCCATGGAGCGAGAAATATGCTATGCCCGTAGCAGTTTTTTTCAGAGTTCATCCTGAAGCACTTTTTCATTACTTTGTGATTGTGCTCCTAATAGACCTGAGATAGGAACAAAGGAAAAATATACATGAAGTGAGAGATTATTCTAAGTACTATGTTTATTGATACAATAGGGGATTTTTTTCCTTTAATACTTGCATTACTTTCTTGTGTTCTCCCTACTTGTGCTCTTTTCAGACATACACGATCAAAACAGCAAGAAGCCAGTGATGGTATATATCCATGGTGGTTCATATATGGAAGGTACAGGCAATATAGTGGACGGCAGCATATTAGCAAGCTACGGAAATGTCATTGTTGTGACCATCAACTACAGACTAGGGGTTCTAGGTAAGTTTTTTCTTCTCTTTCTTGATTCAGTAAGCCATGAAAGTTTTTTAGAGTCATATTTATTATCATAAAACCACGGTTTTGTATTTTCTGGTCCAGTTTGTTTCAGAGAAACCCTATAGGATGGATGATGCAATATAGTGTGACAGAAATGTATAGTCTTGTTTTGAAGTATTTGATTGCAATTTGGATATGTTTTAATATCATTTAAACATATGAGTCTCTTCTATACATTATCAGAAAGTGAACTTGGGATAAATCAACTCTTGCTATATTTGTTATTCTTTTGGGGCCTACCTTGTGATTTTTCAGGCAACATGGTAGCATAGAAAAACTGAATTGTATTGGCAGTGATATTTTCTTCTGTTGTACTGTCATTGTTTTAGTTGGGTCAGATATTTCTGGTTATGTTATTAGGATCTATTGAAAGTGGCACATGTTATGCTATCTACTTACCTTCAGTTGCCTTAGGTTTCTTTGTGGGCTTGCCCTTAGTAATAAATTACTTGCTGCAAATGAGACAGAGCTACATTTGAATATAAGCAGACATCATTGTGTCAGATTTTCCCCTTTGTAACATAGAATTTTCTACTGTGTTGAAATATGCAAACTGTGGATGCCCAACTATTGCATTTCAGTATCTCAAGCATCCAAAAGGGAGCATAGGTTTCATGAAGGTCATTGTAATTTTCCCACTGACACTTGACTGGATTATATTTTCTTTCAAGGCTTCTTGTAAAAGTTAAAGGCCAGCTACCAAGGGAGGTTAGATTGGTTCTCTTTCTGTTGTTCTTCTCTTTTTCAGCAAAGGCACTCTTATTCAGGAAGGATTTTGGAGTGTAAGCTGGTCTATTAGAGATTTTAATCGGTTGAATGCTATGTGTTTCTTTCACCGTATTTTAATGTCAAGTTTTAATTAAGATTTTTTTAAAAAAAATCTTTATTTTGTCAATGTTAGCCATTTTGAGAGCCATTTTGATGAAAGGAATTATATCAGCATATTTGATAAAAACAAGTAAAAAACAACAACATACAGATTACCATATTAATTTGTCTATATTTCATTACCAATAAAACTATTAGTTTGTGGTTATTTTAGGATTGTGTGTAGATCTTTGCTTTATAAAGAAAATCCTCATCTAAGGTTGGTAAACTAAACTCTTCAATTGAGTTTAATTTTTATGATCCTTAAAAGAACCAAATAAATAAATCCATTTTAACCTGCAGTCTGACACTCACTTCTAAAGAGAGTTTTCTTCTGTAGCATTATATGTCATTTTATGTGGTACTACACTCTAGGAATGTGCAACAAAACCATGCTGTTTTCAGTCCAGTTTTTAGCTAACCCCTTATTCTGTTTACTGGAAAATTTCAGAAATGGAAGGGGGGGGGGTCCACTTTCATTCAGGAAATATTCAGCCCATTGGTTATAATGAGGAAAATTTAGAGGCTAATTTCTCTGTCATTTTTAGGCTTATCTGCATGAAACCTACCTCAGTTGTAGATCACATTTATGACTGCCGGCCTGCCAAGTTTCATAACAATTCATAAATCAATTTTTAAAATTATTTTAAGTTTTTACCATGACATTTTTTTTAAAAAAATTAGACAAACCACAAGAGAGGGTTCTAGGAATTGTAGTCTCTGGTTGCATCTATTCTCAGCCAAAGAGAGCATGGACACAACTAGGCCTTTTATTTCCTGAGAAACACAAAGAGAAAAACTTCAACTCCCATCTTGCCCCCGGAGCATCTCAGAGGCTTTTCAATGCCTGCCCCATGCAAGTGTTGCTGGGAAAGCGAGTTCCCAGTAGAACCCTCTCTGGAGGAGGGGCTTAGGGAAGTTTTTCAGAAGAAATGCCGGGGGAAGGAAGAAGAGGAGGAGCCTTTGCCTCAAGTGCAGAGAAGGAGCCCCAGCAGCAGGCCTCTGCCTCAGTGCAGTTAACCCCATAATGTCCAGTAGCCGAAAGACACCAACTCCTCTTGATTTCTTTCAGCTGGTTTCAGGCTCTCCCCCACCCATCCTGTTTTTGGGGATTTAGCAACCAAATCACTGAATTTTCAAAATCCGTTTCACTCCAAACAAATATGTGCACAGCCCTACTATACTCTAACTTTCAATTTTGAAAACAGTGTGCAAGTCATTCTCCACCACCAATCAATACAATGTATCTGTACATCTCAGTTCTACTTATATCAAGATAGATGCCTGCACTACACAAAATAATCTACACATTCAGCAGGTAGTTTAAGGTACTATCCAAGCTGTACTGTAGATCAAAATACATAGAAACATTGTTGATTCTATTAAATATCTAGAAGCATTTCTCCATTAAGGCCAAGACTGGTTGACATTTTTTGACAGTTTGGTCTTTTTCAATTCATAGAGACAGCTCTTAATAATATCATGATATGTGATAGAGGGACAAGATCAATGTGCTCTTTTCATTATATTTTTATTGGATTTTTTTAGTGAAGAAAACCTCATCGAACAAACTTTGCATTTTGCACAAAATATGTTTGTGAATTTTTCTTGACATAGACTAATGACTGTTTTTCTCTTTTATGTTGAAAATTCTGTTCAATGCATAATGCAATCCACACTCTTTTCTCACACAACCTATTTTACTGTCTTATGAATAGCAATAAGTCTACAAAAACAATTCAAATTGTATAATATTATTGGCATGTCTGGAATCTCCCCTTCCATAAAAGAAAAAAAATCTAGATGGTTTCATGACTAAATATATCTGTTTTGTTTTTCTCTGATGGGAGGTATTATCAGGGAACTAGTTAGGCAGGGTAAGCAAAAAAACATATCCAAAGTAGCTTGAGAGCTAAGAGTGAATGATTCCCACCAAAGGTTAGAAGGATGCAATCCACACCAATTTGTTATTCCCATTTAAATAAGTTTGTAACATCTATTTTTGGATGTACCTTCAGATGTCATATCAATTTACACTTGAAGTTCCAAAATAAAAGGATTCCTGAATTGTTCTTTTGTGGATATCTTAGGGTATGGGTCTAAATCATGGGAAACACTACAAAAAGAACATGAGAGGTTCTACACATGCTTTTTAAATAATCCTTCTGGGTTTTTTTCTGTTTTTGGTGATTTCAATCTGCAGTGGTGTAGTATTCTAAATGAGGTGTGCCAATGGAACTGACTTCTGAGTCTACATGTATACGGTTGCATTTTAATGGTATTGTCTAATTTTACACTCTTCTTACAGTTGGCTCATGGCAATCATTTATCTCATATTATAATATATGAGTATTTACAAATTAAACACCTGCTTAGCCTAAGAATTTTTCTTTGTTTAGGCTTTTGAATGCTAATGAAGAAGGATCTGTGTAATAACAATATCAGCTCTGCTGTATAAATGTCAGGGAAAGGCAGTTCAACTTCCCCAGCATTGATATGCATATAAAATACAACAACCTCCAGCAGTTCTGACAGATATGCACTAATGTGTTTAAAACTGCTGAGTTTCTATAATAAGCCAGCTGCTTGCAGGAACCAGTACTCTCTGCTACAAAATCCAGCATATTCAAGAATTGTGTGTTTCCTTCTTAGTTCTTCTAGTTGCTATACTTAAAAGGCTGCATATATCAATCCCTTTAATCAGATATAGTAAAATTTTCAAGGAGGGATCCATGCCTCATTTATGAAGAAATTCAGCAAAAATAATGCTGACAATTGTAAGGTTCTGTAATAATTTTACTATTATTTTACTCATCTGCCAAACCTTTCTGTAGAAATTTTATAGGAATTCTACCCATCTTAATGCTCAGGGTCATAAATCCTACTGACAAGTGGAGATGTGCATTAAAAGATACTGGAAGAACCTGCAAATATTCCTTATACAGGCAATCCCCAAGTTACAAACAAGATAGTTTCTGTAGGTTTGTTCTTAAGTTGTATTTGTTTGTAAGTTGGAACAGGTACATGTTTAATTGTAACTCCAGCCACACACACACACACACACACACACACACACTGTATATGGTGTAGAAAAGGATTAACACCCCCGTGGTCTTTGTTTTGCTGTCTGTGCCCATGTTCAGAAGATTGCACATCACTTCTCTGTGATAATTGGATTTTGAAAAAAATGCTCCTTGTGGAAACAAGGGTTCGGGATAAAGCTTCAGTGGAAACATTAATGTATGCATATGAAGAAAAATTAAGTCTGAAAAAACAGTAAAAATGAGAACAAAAATATGACAAGGAAAAGGAAGCAGCATTTGGAGGAACACAGTAACTGGCCTCTTCTACACAGCCAGATAATGCATTATATGAGATTAACTGCATTATATCAGGGAGGATTTATAAGAACCAGGGAGGAATTATAAGATGGTCATAAATATTCTTTACCAGACGAGTGGGATCACATTGTGCAGTCAATACAATTCCAGGTAAAAATTGTTAAACAAGAAATTTAGTCTCAGCATATCATAAGCCAGAAGTCACAATGATGCAATAAGTTAAAACCAAGGCATAACTATTCACAAGTCATTTCAAATTAAGACATTTCACAGTAAAGACCTAAAGAATCAAGAGTCAGAAGCAGTTGTTCCGAGCATTATGTTTGACCCAAACTGAAGCTTATGTACTGTTGCCTCAAATCCTTACTAACCACCTCATCACACTTATAGCCCCCCCTTCATTTTATGGGCAGGCACCATCAATTTACTGGGAATCATGTCTGCCATCAGATGATTTCCAGTTGTCGCTCCTACCCCCCCCCCCCCATCACAGAACTACAGAGCAATTGTGAAATTGGGCAGAGCTGCAAACATGCAGAAAAATGTTGAAGTTAACCAAAATAGTGCTAAGAACCCATATTTTGGCTCAAAACAACATGTGATGGGGTCCCTGACAATCTCAGCTCTATTTCAGAGCTTACCATGGTGAAAAGAGGCATTCCAATGGGCGGTCCTTAGCAGCGAGCTATCATGCCTCTTTACAGAAGTGCACAATAACTCCTTCCTTTTGCAAAA